AACTTTACTCGAGTGATAGTTTATTGGGATTTAAAATTCTACAGTGACAGTTAATTTGCTTCAACACTGTAATTCCATTGTCTTCTGGCTTCCACTGTTACTGTTGGTAATTCTGTCTTAAGTATAATTTTTGTTCCTTCAAAAATGTCTTTCTCTCTTGCTTTTCACAATTTCTTGTCTTTGCCATTCTATTATTACACTGTACCCCATTTAGGTGTCACTCTTTTATCTTCTAGCAATAAAAAAAAATTGTTTCTGCCTTTTCTTTTCTCATTTGCTTATATAAATAGCAGAGGGTTACCTTTCCCAGGTAGTCACCTGTACAGGGTCCCATTCCCCTTTCACTTTGCAATGATCTCTCAGATCTAAATGTGGAGGTAGCTCAATGCATACCCTTGGGCCAATTCCCTGCATCAAAAAAGTATCCATTTATTAGATGTAGGCAGGGTATTTTCTTACATCCACTGGCAGTTTTCGAATAATCTGGGGGGAAATTTACATTTTAGGGAGTGTCATCATCTTCCTGTTAATGAATTAATTCTAATCTCACCAATAACATGCAGCACAAAAAACTTGGACTCTTCCCATCTCTGCCACCAGCAGATTCCAAACATCCTTGAAAAAGTGATGTCCCTCCGTACTTTCCCCTCCAGCTACAGTAATTTTAAGTCCAGGGGAGGTTGTCTTTTCATGAAGGATGCAAACAAAGAAGTATTAATAAAGAGCCACCTTGCAAATAATTTCACATAGATACATTCAGTAGAAAAATATTTTAAACCCCCTACTATGTGCTGGGAGGTATGCAATGAGGAGACAGCTTCCTAGTTTTCTGGTAGGAATACATAATAAATTGCTGAGGAAAAAGCAGATCACAGGACTAGACTGTTTGCTCTTTACAGCAAAATTATGTTTTAATTGAGCATAAGTTGGCAGAGGCTATTCAATGTGTTTTCCAATCGGGCCACAACAGCTCAGTCATTACTGAGAATTACTCATAGGATTTATGTAAATGGATGGCTGTTATCTTTTCTTTCCATTGCCATTGAATTTTTGAATTTCTGTATGTCTTCATGGATCATTTAATGGAAAATTAAGAGAGGGCTTATCATGGAGTTGTAGCTTGACAGTATTTTAACTAGGAAGTTTTCGTTTTCATATTATTTTTTTAAGATGATACAATTTCCAAAAAAAAGAGCTAAAATAAGATTTCTTTATAATTAATCCCTCCATGGGTAAGGAAGCAAGGGATTGCTGATAGCAAATTAACTCTGTATTTTGCATTTTCAAGTCTTAATACTATAAACTTTCTCAAACTGTCTTATATTAAAAATAAAATGTTTTAAGAGTAGATTTCAAGTTCTTGTAGAATGATTTACTAAGTGTGCAAATTAGTTTGAATGAGCTATTAGCCAGTCAATAAACAGCACATTCTCTAGGACTTAACCTAGGGGGAAAGGCTTATAGAATTTTTGATTAAATGTCTCCTTAAATGTATTGTATAGCTTATGTTCACCTTTGAAGACCTACACAAAGAATAAGGCACTGTTTAAAAGTTCATTTTTGGTGGTGATGTTTTTTTCTGGCCGGTCCCATGTCCATAGATATAAAGTAATATAAGGCAAAGTAAGACATTTATCTAACTAAAAGTATCTTACATTAATATTATAAGGATAAAGAATATACAAAGTCTCAAATATTACAATTATGTTGACTAAGTTATAGCAAATTATTTGACTTAAAGTATATTTTCTTTGATAATATAGGACATCATCATGTCGCATTATTGCATGGTGCAGCGTAGAAAGAGGCCGGAACTGGCAAAAAAGCAAAACAAAACAAAACAAAACATGTTAGGACAGGACCCATATTGGCAGCCAAACAAGCTATAAATTCTGACTGTGGGAGGACACACAGAGGAGGGCAGCCAGACGTGAAAGACATTAGTCAAACAATAGTTATGACTGAGATTTTCAAAAGTCAGAAGTCAAATGACAATCAGGCACGTGGCTTGGAGAAAAGGGGAACTAGGGCAGGTTGACATCAGAGGCCAATTCCACAGTCAAGAAAAGGCCCACGATAGATCCTATGCTCAGGGGCAGGATTTTTGTTTGAGGTCTCGGGCTGTCTACAAGAAGGCGGCTGACGGGTATAGCATGCCAGTGCCCGGGGAGGGAGTCTGGCGACTACAAGCGTGGGTTTTAAGAAATAAAATAGAATCCGATGCCTGTACTGGGCCGCACAGGGAGCATACGAGTGAGGGGCCCGCGCTGCCAGATCTGATGCTGAAGAGTGCTCATGAGGTGCAGAGACACCACAGGGGGACGGGCCATCGGCACAATGGGCTCCGCGATCCCAGGTCTGCAAGGAGAGCTGGCTCCGGGCCTGCGGTGAGGCGTGTGAGCAGAGAAGGTAGGGCAAAGGGAAAGGAGCTGAACATTGTTTATATTGAAAGCTGCTGACATAAGTAGGAAAATTATTTATTTATTTTATTTATTTTAAATATATCTTCATTGATTTCAGAGAGAGGAAGGGAGAGGGAGAGAGAGAGAGAGAAACATCAATGATGAGAGTCATTGATCGGCTGCCTCCTGCAGGCCCCCGACTGGGGATCAAGCCCACAACCCGGGCATGGGCCCTGACCGGGAATCGAACCCTGATAGTCTGGATCCTAAGTCGACGCTCAACCGCTGAGCCACGCCCGGCCGGGCATAAAATTATTTAATATATTAACAGTAAGGCAACACTGGGGTATGAGGTATGTTTTATGTGGTTCCCGAAATGCCTTTGGTCCCACTACCTCCAGCAACCTCAACCTCTGGTCCTATCTTCCATGATCCTCTGCCTGAGGATGGCCTGGAGTTTCCTGCAGAACTAAGGGATCCAAATCCTTGGCTGCTGCGCTAAAGACGGGTAGAGAATTGCTGGCCCCCTTTGCCATGGGCAGGCATGGACCCTGGCATTCCATGGGGCCAGAGAATGCCACCTCGATACCTAGGACCATTAACTCGCACGGAGGAAAATCGGGCGAAGAACAGGGGACAGGAGTTGACCATGCAGATAAAATTCTCTCCCTTCCTCTATCATAGTGATTGCTCAGGGGCCTTTCTTTCCAAATAGTTTTTCAGATACGACACCTGCTGAACGATCTGTGTCATTCATGGAGGTAAGTAGTGGACACTGAGGTAGCAGCTCACGCAGGATTCATGGCTTGGCCTCCCGTTCTCCCCTTTCTTGTTTCTCTTCTTTCTCACTTTCATTGCCCTGAATCCGCACCTCCCAAGCAAAGCTGATTCTAAAATTCTTATGAAACTGTAAGGATCTCAGAACCAAAACAATACGGTTTCAAAAGAATAATGTAGCAGGAATTCATACTTTCTGATTTCAAAGCTTACCATGAAGCAGTAATAATTTTAAGTGTCATGTGGATTGACATATAGATCTATAGGATAAAATAAAGAATTCAAAAATAAATAATGTATCTATGGTCAACTGATTTTAATAAGGGTGGCAACATCATTTAATGCACAAAGAATAGTGTTTTTCAACAATAGTGAGGACACCAGATAGCCACATGCCAAAAAATGAAGTTAGACCCTTGCTTCAAACAATATACAAATAGTAACTAAAAATGGATCAAAGACCTAAATGCAAGAACTAAAGCTATAAAAATCTTAGAAGAAAACAGAGGTCTAAATCCTCCTGACCTTGAATTTGGCAGTGGAGCCATAGGTATAATATCAAAAGCAAGAGTAATAAGAATAACAAAAATAGATAAATTGGACTTCATCAAAATTGAAAACTTGGTGCTTCAAAGGGTACTATCAAGAGAGTGAACAACCAATAGAATGAGAAAAAGTATTTGCAAGTCAGCTATCTGAGAGGGTATTGAATTTAGAATACAGATGGAACACTTGCAGCTCAGTAATAAAACACAACCCAACTTTAAACAATGGGCAAATGATCTGAATGGATGTTTATAAGATGGTCAATAACAAGCACATGGGAAGACGCTCAACATCTCAGATCTCCTAGGAAGGCAAAGTGAGCAGGCTAGCCTGTGCCTTATAATTCTTGGTCATCATTTTAGATACGGAAATATTTCATAGTTAACACAAAGCCATAGGAAAATATCAAATGAAAACTTAACAAAACCATAATTAGCAATAACATAACTTAGAATCCATGACACGTGGAACATTGGAGGATTAGCTCTGATAAAAAAAAAAAAGTATATTCCTATTATTATTCACCAGCTTGGAAAGAAGCAAAGGAAAAATGTGAATTAATCTTACTATTTTAAAATATTTAGTCACATTGTTTATATCTTATCACTTGTATTTAATATTGTATTGATATTCTATAAAATCTGGCATAGTCCTCCTAAACACAAATCAAAGGGACATCAGGAGGCCTAGAGTAAGTACTCAACTTATAAAGGCCCTAGTCCATATGAAAGATAAGTTACTCGTAAGCGGTATTGTCCTCCTCTGATACGTTTAAAAAATAATAAATTTATTGTGGTGACAATGGTTAATATGAACATATAGGTTTTGGGTGTGGGTTTCTATGTTAGAAGATCTGAATATTGCTGTGTGTTCCCACCACCCAAAGTCATATCCTGACGTCAACATCCTTTCTAGAGCCAGCCCAAGCCTCAACTCCAGCACAACTTCTGTAATCAGGTTCACTGTCAAAGCAAGAGCTCGCCTTTCTCCAAGTGCACTTCATTGTCTTTAGCAGGTAGGTATTCTTTAACAAAGACAAGTCTGCAAATTTCAGTACCAGGAATTTAGCACCCAAATCCAGTACGTTACTTAGATTGCTGTTATGTAGTTTGTTGGTCACTTATAACACAAAATTTATTCAATAATTGGCACTTATGTAGCTAAACTAACTTTTCAATCATATTATGAACATCCTATTAGTAGAGATAGTCTTTTCTTTGTATGTTATTATTTCACAAAGGTGCTAGATATTGCGATTCACACATTACTGATTACCTTTTCTATTTGCAGGTTTAAGTCCTTTCACTTGACTTTCCGGATACTGAGGAATGTGAATTTCCTTGGAGACATAAAAATAGTCTGGAAGGCTCACGTCTGTTGTGTACAAAATGGACTTAGGCTGCTTTAACTTTGAGATATTAAAAAGCATATAAGTCTGCAAATAAACAGAAAGAAAACTTGGAATGTACTTCTCTTTTCCTTTTACTCTAAAACACAAAAGAGAGCATTATGTATTTAGGCTCTATTTTGGGGGGAAATCAACCAAGGAATTGAATTTGTTCATTTCTTTAGACATACGATTATTTAATTGGTGGGAGAAAACACTAACATGTTTCATAGAATTAATGGAGTCACCCTTTATTGAGAGATCCTCAGCGTCCCCTATTCTAATCCTTTCAGTGCTGAGGAGTTCGTTGCCTCAGGAAGAAACCACTGGATTGGAGAACCGCATTGAGATGAACCCCGAACCCCTTAACATCTACCCATCAGTTCTAGTTCTCCTTAGCAGTACACTTAGTGCCCTTTCTTTTGCTAATGACGATTTTGTGAGGGAGGAAAACAGAAATAAACACACACACACACACATAATTACACACATCATTACACACATATAAAACTAGGTCTTACCCCTCCACAGATCTCCAAATATCTTTTTAAAATAAGTTTGGTATTTTTTTGTGCTTTCAACCATTACTTATATAATGTAGGTTACACCTCACTCACCCCCATGCATATGCTCAAGACACAACTGAGTTCAGTACTGTGCTTCCTAAAATGGAACACTGAAGAGAAACCAAGCAATGCAGAGCACAGAGGTAGGCAATCATTTATTTTGATCTGGAAGCTCTTCTGCCAAAAACATAGTACTGCCCAAAGGTTAGACTAAGTGTTCTTGGAGCGAGTTACCCGCATTTATATGTCCACTCTAAGTAAGCTTGACCAGGTTATTACCAAAGCCACAAAATCTTCATTTGTAAAAGATAGGTGATAATAGTACACACTGCCTATCCCTGGGTGTGTTTAATGTGTAAACAAATGCCAGGTGCTTGGAGCACATTTTAAGAATTCAATAAATGTTGGCAATTTTGGACAAAAAGGGGCCACATACTAAACCTGTAAAGCTTGGGGCAGGCCTGCATGGCGGCCTTGCAAACTCAGAGACCTAAAATAACCACCAAGGATGGTCTGAAATTAAAACTTTTTCACTAAAAGCAGTCTACGGTGGGTAGTGACGCCCTAAGGCAGTATTTTACCTTCACAAAGGTTAATTTGCACCTTAACTAAGCCTTGGGGTTGTCTTTTACGTCTGAGATAACACACCTAATTAACACAGGCTTTTGCAAAACAAAGGAATTTCCCCTTTTGCCCCACCCTCAGTGCACCGGGCAGAGACCAGGAATCTTCTCATTCTTATTGATATCTTATTAACTGATGACTGTTAACTGTCCTGTACCCGCCTATCTAGAAGAAGTATGTGTCTATCATTTTACTTTATATCCAATCCCAGATGTTCCCCTGCTTTGCTCTCTCCCGCCTCCCTAATCTACCAGCAATGGATTTCCTGTAACCCACTTATATCTCCTCCTCTGATTGTCATCTACAAAGCAAGGTGCAAAACTGCCATTCTCCGGAGCATTATCTCAGTCCCTTGAGATTTTGCCTCCCTGACATATGTCGACAGTTTGGCTCAAATAAACTCACAAAATTTTTTTTACAGGTTTGAATGTTTCTTGTGCTAACACTATCATTACCATCACTGTCATTGTCATCACTATCAACATGATCATGATATCATTACTCATCAAAAATAAATGTTAGTGCCTTTAGCATTATCTCATTCACTGGGCTAATTATAACATCCACAAGAATTTTTTTCCACCAAAGTCACATTTTCTACCTACTTTATTTTGACAATTCAAATCATGTAAATAGAGAGATTTAAATTAATTCAATTTACATTTATCATTGTTTGGGTTTGGTTCATTTTTCTAGTCATAGTGAACAGATAATCTATTTGCTTCAGTAACTAGCTCTTTAAAATCCTGAATGCATACTGTCTGCCTTCTAGATCTTCAAGTCATTCAAAATAATATGTATTGACACAGACTCTCTTCTTGACCAAACTCTAGTCTAGGCCTCAACTTTGACGTATAAAAGCTGCAGAGTCACAGAAGTGGACATTTACAAGAAGTGAGAAGGGGGTTCGTGGATGCAACCTGGATTTGTTCATTGATGCTTACCTGAGCTTACTTTAGAAAGCTTGTAATTATAAATCCTTTCTCTCCCCTTTGAGAAGTAAATCTTCTATAAGCCACACTGTCTTCTCAGGGACCTCAGTGCCCTCTCTTTGAGATGCTAATATTCAAGGGGATAACCTACCAGCCGGCTGGGTACCTGGCTGCAACTTGCATCGCTTCCTCCAGACATAAAGATTCCAGAAGTTTGTTTCTCCTGCAGATAAGCATCCATGAACAAGTCCAGATCGCATGCATCAGCCCCCTCTCACTTCTGGCGAGTGTCTGCTTCTGTGACTCAGGTCAAGCCCCTATTCATTCCCCCTCCTCTCTCTCGGCTCCCGTCTGAGGCGCCCCGTCACTGCTGCCTGGATTGAAGCTGAGTTCGTTCTATGCTGGAAGCTTCTCTCTGCTGCAGCAGCTCCTGAATAAAGTCGACCCCCTTATTGCTTTAACTAGTGCCCAGCCTCGCCTTTCACAGTGGCAACTGGACTACTTCAGGACTTGACGGGCACTTAAATTACACAAATACAAAAGACTTTTTCTTTACCCTTCCGAATCCTCGCCAAGGAGATCTTTCAGATTTCCTTTTTAAAAGATATCGAATTTCAAAATCCCGATGATTTTTCTTGCGATTTATCCCGGAGTACATACCATGGCTTTTAAAACATAAACAAGAAGGAGCTAATAAAAAATATAAGGAACCTATCCTGTAAGCCCTGAGTCCTTCCAGTCTCACCCAGTATATCACTAAAGTTGTTTTATTAATGGCCAGATAATATGAATTCAATAAATGAGGGCCAAGTGAAGTAAAAAATTCATGCTCCTGACAAAAGATCCTGTCTCTTACAGTATATAAAGTAGATACATCATATTGCTATTACCCTGAAAATACTGTATTTCAAAATTCAAATTGCACGTTGTATAATAAAAAAAATTGGACATGACACTTTTCTACATTTATTCAATAAGATTTAGTTTTGAACAAATATATTTCAAGGTTGATTTTAGATTTTATTTGTTACACAGTTATTTCATGCTACAGCAGAGCTTTCTAGACTTTCATTTACTGCATTATACAAGTTCACGATAGTAGACTAAGAAGTGAACATATGAGCTGGAGAATACACAGGGCAAGGAAAAGAGTAGTGGTCTGGGAGGTAAAAACCTAGGCCCACTTCTATTCTGTCACAAATCACGGGTGTGAACTTAGGACACTATCTCACTATTTTTGGGTCTTGCTTTACAGGTCTGTAAGAGTAAGAGGCTGGACTATGTGTCGCTGAGTACCTTTCATTTGTTTTCCTGTTTTAAAATACAATAATGTCTCCACCCTGATCTGGGTTGTGATCTCTGCCATCACTGAGGGCAACTTAGGTCTTTTATTGCCTCACTCATTCCATTTTTTCTATTATAAGTGCAATCTTATCTGCTCTACATTTCTCCATGAGGTTATCAAAGTAATTTGAAAAGTGCACATAAAAGCATTTTGGAAAAAAAGGTGAGAGTATTTTAAAAATCCATCTTGTTTACGGTTCTGCTGCAAGAAAGTTTTAGCGCTATTGTATTTCAAGAGTGCACTTGACATGAAAAGAAATCTTTATGACTAGATAGATGTAAGCACAATAAGATATTTCTAAGTTCTGATCTGGTGTAGCTGGTTTTCTTACATTGACACTTTCAACCCTTCTCTAGTTATTTTCTACACTTAGAGTTTTTGCTGAAACAAAAAAATGAATGATATTCAGGGAATTCAAAGAAAATACTAATCTTCACGTGAAAAAAACTTTCCATTTTTAAATTTAGAGACCACTTAAAAATTTAATTTTTAAAAAGCCAAATGTTATTCATAAATTGTTATTATCATTACTACTTCTACCACCAAATTCAAAGGAAGCACACACATATGGATACTCATCCTGCAAACGTGAGACGGAAACAAGGGTAAGTAAACAACAAGATGACTTGGTGAAAAATCAGGCAATGAGGCAACCTGGATGGACATCAGCCTATACAATGAAGACTTAAGGTTTCAAGTGGCATTTGTTTGTTTAGGCACATGTTCAAGTCAATGAAACAATGACAGCACCTCTCATGCACAAGTCATTAAGGTGTAAACAAAAAACACAAAAGTTTCTAGATTTCTAGGAATTCACATCGTAGAGAGAGAGGTACATATAAAAATAAATCTTATACAAAACATAATTTTGATAAATGCAACAATGAAAACAAAAAGTGTAGAAAGAAAGTCCATGGGCAAATGCCATCTCCCTCAAGCATTCTTCATTTAAATAAAATGTTTTGACAAAAGGTAAGAATGAAAAAAATGAATTCAAAAGGAAAGAGAGAGAGTGCACATGCAATACAACAGGCTTAAAGTTTGAAAAGTCCACATATTGAACATTTTTATTGTAATAGTGTCCTAAAAGTTGCACACAAACCTTCCCAAATTCACTGTTCTATAAGCAGAAGGAAGGATTCTGGTATGAGCTGAAGAGAGCCACCCGCTTCTTAAATGCACAGTGTGGATGGGGCGGTCCAGAGCGGGTCACAGCCTCAGGCCTTGATATTTTTGAGCTAATCAGAACTTAAAAATCCGGGTCATTCATAACATATCATCACTGTTAAAAATCTGTGATTAGACTGTACTGATTATAACATTATGAAAAACACACACATCTCTACAGTGCCAAGAATTTTGTTGTAATAGATGTAAATGAAGGTAAATCTTAACAAGGATGAAAACATTTATCATTGCCTCCTTCACTGAACAAAGATTCTGTGACTACCTTTGGCAGGTCACAAACTTTTCTAGGCACTGGTGATATGAGAGTTAACTAAACAACTATCTTCTCACAAATTCCCTTGCTAGAGACAGACATGAGTAAACGCATAAATATATGACTCCCAGGTGATACATTCTATTAAGAAAGAAAACTGAAGGGAATCTAAGATTTGGAGAGTGCCTCCTAGAGGTAAGCGATGCTTTTCAGAAAATATAAGTTCGTAAAAGAGAATCTCACTGATAGCATTCGAGCAGATCTGAAGTAAACGAAGGAGGACAGTCCCTAATATCTAGAAAAAAATAACAGAAGGAGTGCACAGGCCATGGGGAGCATCCCTTAGGCATCTGAAAGATAGCAAGAGGTCTGTGCTGGGGGAGTAACCTGAGCAGATGGGCTCCAGAGGAAATGTTGAGATAAGGGAAGGAAGTGAGACCTACCAGGGTGGTCATGAAGAGCATCTTAAGGATGTTGGTTTTTATTCTGACACGAACAGTAGAGGAACAACGTGAACATCCCTTTGGCAGCTCTGTGGTGTCTAGACTCTACCTTATTTCAATTATAAAATAGAATTCAAGCTACAATAACAGAGTCTATAGTAATAGTAATAATAATGCCACATAGAGTATACTTATTATATACCAGGTATTACGCTAAGCATTTTACATAAGTATCTCACTTATTTTCCATAAACTATCAATATCTCCAGATTAAAAATATAAAAATTGAAGTGTGACAATTTTTAAGTAACCAGCCCACAGTGACACAGGTAGGAGTGTTAACGTCTCAATTGTCAGCCTGCTCATCTGATCCCAGGGATGAACCTCTCTGGATACAAAACAGAATATCCTGGGCAACTTTTAGAACACCCCCCCACCCGCTTCCTTCCAGAGATTTGTATGTAATTCTTCTGGAGTGGTGCCTGAGCATTAGTATTATTATAAGTTTTCCACAGCATTCTAATGTGGAGCCAGAATTGAAGATGACTGTGAATGAAGCAACTACAGCGTAATGCCGAAAATTAGTAGTGTGCTTAGTTACTACCAGTCATTACTACTAAAATTAGAAGTAATGCTAAAATTAGCACAATGCTTTCATTCAGATTTACTTTTAATGAGGTAAAAAAGATAAAAAGGTACCGAGCTGTCTTTCTGGGGAAAACCAGCATCCATCCCTTTTTCTCTGTATAAATGCTATGATTAAGTGACAGCTCTGTATATTCTTAAAGAGATAACACTTTAAGGACATCAGCTGTCCATTCCCACCTCGACCCTGGTCAGCCCCAGGATGGCGACGGCCACGCGGATGCTACTGCTCTCCAGGGTGCCCGTGATCAACCTTCGCTGATATTCTACATCCGACATCTGTTGCTGCGCTGCAAAAGCCAATGCCTTTTCCTTGGCTTCATTAGTCAGTGGCAGTATAAGGTCCGTGTCCAAAATATGATGGGGTTTGCATTTCAAATACAGAACTGGATCGTCCTCATTAAACACTAGGGGGAAGCAAAAACATTCATGACCGCAATGATCATTTATGCCCTTGACATTACCATTCAGGATGGATTTGGGAGGTTTGAAATATAAAACTACAGTCATGGCCTTCATTAAACAGAGTAAAAATAGATAGGTAACACATTTCTAGTAGCACTAATTCAGTAATTCAAGAACAAGTTTTCAGGAATTAAAGATATTTTCCTGGTACGCTCTGAAGAGTTCTAGTCAAATGGTTCTTTCAAAGAAACATAATCACCGTGAGCAAAAATTCAGTGACCATTGTGCTCTTATCAGTGATTAGGAGGTGGGGAGTAGAAATAAACAGAAAGAAAGACATCTGTCAACGACTGGCATGAACTGTAATTTTCTTTCACTAACAACCTTATACTTTAAACGACAATGTTATATTACTGACATAATAAAGTAAAAATCTAACTATGTATTGGAAAAACTTGCTCTGAGGATGCTTAGATAACGGTATGAGGAACAGTCCCTTCCTTCAACATTATAAATGAAATAAAACATATGTATAGTCTACCTTCCGGAAAATATGTGCAGTCATCTGTACGTAAAGTTGAGGAAGTCATTGCAGGTAGGCTGGAAGGCAAGGGGATCGTACCTTTTCCTTCCACAACGTATATTAATTCTCCGATCTAAAACACAACCACACAATAATATTAAAATCTAAAAGCTCAGACAAAATTAGGATAAATCTTTCTGCCTGCAAGAAAAATGTGCATGCTGAAAACATCATTGCATTGTGCATTTTTAAGCAACATGTGCCCTAAATGCATGGAGAAAGGTAAGGCTTAAATACAGCCCTACCATAGTGCTGGAGAAACTCTGCATGCAACAGAACAGGGAGGTGGCTTAAGAACATCCCAGGATGACACTGACAGCAGTTGATCTCTATAGCTACAAATATTCATTGCAGACTGCTAGCTTAAAACAAATAAACAATCAATCAAGCAAGAATTTTTTTCCCCTTCATTGTGTAATTTATCGTTGGAAAGGAGTGACATCATTTCTGCAGGGCATCTGAGTCCCCAGGAGTCTATATTTTAAAGTACAGGTTTTCTAACTGTCCTTTGATGGATGATTGGATAAAAAAACTGTGATATATAAAGAAAACTGAGTCATGCAATGGACACTACTCAGCCATAAGAAAGAATGAAATACTGCCATTTGTGACTACATGGGTGGGTACTGAAAGCATCATGCTAAGCAAAAGAAATCAGATGAAACAGGATAAGAACTTTATGATTTCACTCATGTGTGGGATATAAAACAAAAAGCAACAATCAATCAAACAAAACAAACAAACTCACAGACAAAGATAACAGTATGGTGGTTACCAGAGAGGAAGGGGGTTGGGGAGAATTAAGGGGGTCAAATACCAGGTGACGGAAGGAGACTAGACAGGGTGGTGGGCACACAATGGAACACAGATGCTGTTTTACAGAGTTGTACACTTGAAACCTAAATGATCTTCTTAACCAATGTCACCCCAATACATTTAATTTAAAAAATAAAGTACAGGTTTTCAAAATGAGCACTGAGGGTCTGGAGATCTTTTAGAATAAATAAGTAATTAGGCAAAAAGTACAAAAGTCTAAACAGACAGAGTGAAAACGAAAGTGGGGTCAATGCAAAGGCATCAACAGGATACAGAGAAAGATTAATAGAGGCAGACAAGCCTAGTTTTGATCCTGGCACTGTCATTTATTAGCTACCAAGCCTGAAGCAAGTTTACCAAAAGCTTTGAGTTCTGGTTGCTTCCTCTGTAAAATGTGGTGAAAAATATTCCTTCATTTTAGGAATCTACAGATTAAATGAAAAGGAAGGGGAGAGAGGGAGTCTAAAAAGACATATCACACAATCACAGTGGATAAATATTATTTAGATCTTCATTCTGAAGAGTGGCAGAATATGTCACCTCAAAATATGATTGTAGGAGTTTAGGACATGCCACTTTGGGGTACTGATGATTTTGAGTGGTAGGCATGTGAAAAACAGGTAATGCAGGGAAAGGCTTTCTCTGAACTCCCCTTATCTGCCTAGAGACAGCTCCTCCAAAAGGAACTCAATTGTCATAAATTCAAAGAAGACTGACTCTTCACAGGAGAAGACAAGTTTGTACCAAGACAAACTTTGTCACAAACTATCATATCTCCCATATACTATTCTAAAGTTCCCATTCATCCTTCCTAAAAATAATTTACTCTTCTAAGTGCCAACATCTCTCCACTCTCCCTAATAAGATGGTATTGAAGCTTGAATTCTAAGTTACCTTGGGAAGTCACTCAGCTTTTCTGGGTCTCTCCCATGTATACATGAAGTATACATCTTAATAAACTTCTGTTTTTCTCCTGTTAATTTTTTATTATGGGGTGGGGGTTTTCTCAGCCAAGAACTCAAAAAGGTAGAAGAAAAATTATTTTTCCTCCCCTACAATTCAAACAAAAAAATTCAAAATGAAACGACAAAAAATATATGTACAGTCATGAGGTGATCAGGAAAATAGGAGCAATGCCTGGATGTTTGATGGCATTAAGAAAAAATTTTTACAATATTTTTAGTAGTAATGGTATCATGGTTATATCAAATTTTCGTTGTTGGTAGAGACAATTACTGAATTATTTGTGATAAAATGATGTGATGACTGGGATTTGCTTCATTATAGTCATGAAACATATTTGGCCGTGCACAGTTGAAGTTGAGCGAAGGGTACCAGGGAGGATTTGTTGTAGTTTTATTTCTACAACTGTATTTTATATTTTCCATAATAAAGTCTTTTTAAAAAATGCTTATATCTCAAGAAGAAGAATGATCCTAACTAAAGATGTAATGAGGACTACGTGAGGTAGCACATATTAGGAACCTGACCCTTTGCCTCATGCTGACCACCAACTTAAGGGATCCATTTAAAAGAAGTGGGACCACTCAGGGAGCAGGTTTCCCAAAGCTTCAGTGCATATAAATCACCTAAGGATATTGTAAAAATGCAGTTTTTACTCAATAGATCTAGGGTGAGGCCAAAGCTTGAGAGATTCAATGAAAACAAGGGCTGGCAAATTTAGGTTTAAACTACGTAATGGAGAATCTTATACCAGAATGGACTTGAGACAGGCGCGCAACTAACCACTACGAAGGCAAAAGGAAACAAAGCTAGCTTCGAAGCTGGGATTGTAACTAGTTTGAGCTGTCCCATAATCTTAAAACAATATTAACTATATGCTTGAGACACTACTCCAATGATATCTTTGAGCAAGCAGTATATACAGATAACATAAAGGTAAATTCATCACATAATAAAAATAGATATTCCAAAATACTGTCAATATCTTAGATAACAAGTGAAATGGCAAACATTAAAAATTAATCTAGAAACAAAAGAAAAAGCAATTTCTGATTGCGAGGTCAATTTATTTATAGCTTCATTATCCCTCCCAATTGAGATTTGTTTATAATAAAATTAATTTCATCATCTTTCATATGATAATGTTTCATAGAATTTCATGAATTATGATTCATAATTATCATTTCATGCTAATAAAAGGAATATGGAAAACTGAATGTTTTAGATTGTTCAGCATTTAAATATGTGTACTCCTGCCCGGCCGGGCGTGGCTCAGCGGTTGAGCGTCGACCTAGGATCCACGCGATCGGGGTTCGATTCCCAGTCAGGGCACAGGCCCGGGTTGTGGGCTCGATCAATGACTCTCTCATCACTGATGTTTCTGTCTCTCTCTCCCCCTCTCTCTGAAATCAATAAAGATATATTTTAAAAATAAATAAATAAATAAATAAATATGTGCACTCCTGGTAATAATTAGTACATTGCATATAACTTTCACATAGGAATTTTTCCTAAACAGCCATCTACTTTGCAAACATAAACCCAAACTAGCAATCTGAACTGTGTTTTGTGTATGTGTGTGTGTGTTATTACAAATACAACTGAGTGATCAATAATTGATGTAAAGTTTTCAATGATAATTCAAGTAGAATACAAATGTGTAAGTTCAACAGAGACTGAAGGAAACAATATATTAATATTTACTTCTATTTTTCCCCTTTTCTCATCTTTATTTTTATTTAAAAATCAGTTGTTTTACCCAAAATACAGTTATCATAAGAAATCAGATTCAGGGAGTATAGTTATCATAATTGCCTAGTAAGTTATCATAATTGCCTTATCACGTTTTTTAAAAATTTGTGCCTGAATGAAACCTATTTATATAGCTTGTCTACTCCATGAAAATGAATCCCAACCCGTGAAAGTTGGTACAAAAGGAACAAACTGCTATTTGCCAGAATATTTTTCTTAAATATAAATTATAAACAGCTTCCTAGTCTTTGATTAGCCAATAGAAATATCAGTAACTAAGAGTCCATTCAATTCCATTTAAATCTACATATTGCACAGACTATATATTAGCATTTCTCAAAAAAATGAGTCTAATTTGTTCACTTCAATATATTCTTTTTATTTAAAAAAAACTATATAATTGAAAATAATGCATGTTTTGCCTGTGTCAGAAGCTTATTCAGGACCATAATCTGTAGAAATATCTAATTAGTTCCCTCTACTTTTCTTGAAATAAAATCAGACCAGGAAAGAAATACAAATGCAAAGAACTCTTTTAAAGTGGGGAGGCTCCTTACTTTCCGAGAATGGAGGCTATGACAAGAGAAATGAAATTATCTGACACCTCACAGACACTTGCCAATGTGAGCCATTCTAAGAGTCACCTATTACATTTCCTTTCTGCTCTTAATTGATATTTACCAGTTGGCATGTTTACTTGAATTTATATTATTATATTTTCCAAGAAGATGTCACAGCCCATGGTCAATTGTAAGAAACCCTCACAAAAGATATTTTGTTCTCCTGTGTATCTAGTCAAATAAAGTCCTTAAATAATATAGTTGCATGCAACTTTACAAGACCAGCTTAATGACTCAGAAAGGAGAAACACAAAAACTGAATTGGAAGGAAAGTTTTAATTCCCGCTCTGCCACTAATTAGCTAGGTAACCTTGTACAGGTCATGGATATCTTCCAGATACAAATAACCTCAATCTTAAAAAAAATTTTTTTTAAAGCATTTCTAGACAGAAAAACACCATGCTGTTCCATAGGTCTTAAATTCTACTTATTTTTGGTTTTAATCTTGGGCCTAGATCTTACTGGGTTTTGTAATTTATATGTTTGAATTGAACTGAACAACATTATATTATTTTGATGGCTAAATAGGCACATGAGAGCTGAGCTAAAATTCTAAAATGTTAAATTCTGTACACTAGAGAGGAATCATTAATCATGATAGATAACGATTCTATTCTGCCACAATTATAATATAAAACTGACTAGTAAGAATAACCACTGTTCTTTTGAAATACTATTTTTCATAGAATGATTGAGCTAAGAATCTCAGTAAGGGTAAGAAATATAAAAAGATTTGTATGCCTGCACTAAAAAATTTAACATTCTTAACACAATCTTAATTGCATGCCTGAGAGATTATTCCGCAGCCATATCAAGAAGGCAACATATATTTAAATGGCATAAAATATGAGTTGATTAATGAAAATATATAATATGTTATAGAGAAACACCTCATCCAATAACAGGAAGCTGGACCTAGAAGTCATCGTGGCAGTGAAATGAACAATCTCTCTTCTCCTTTATCACCACATTTTTCAAAAGTTTCTATTCAAATTTTTGCCAACAATTTGCTCTGCAAAGGCAAATAATGTGCTTCCCTTCAAGTGTGAACATCACTCAAACTGTCATGAAGATTGGTCTTTATATCGATATTCTTTACAGTTCTCTCTTGTCCCCTTCCCTTCTTCCTTCCCCTAAATCCAACATCATCACCTCTCCTTTCACCACTGCTTCTCACATCCTTTTTGTCTTCACTGACAGTGTTAGGGGCAGAGATGATCATGCTCTGTTGCTCGTGATTGTCAGCTATAGTTATAAGAAATATTCATCACGTGCTGTTAACTGTGATTGTTCTGTTCTAACTAGAGAAAGCACTTTCTAACCTGGCTGGGAGTTGTATGCCCCAGGAAATGGGAATTATCCTTGGAATGCGGTCCATTCTCCTTTCCGAGAACTGCCCATCATCATGGAAAGATTAACAACCTTGTTCATGAAACGATGGAGTCGCGGAGACATCTGCCCATTGCAACCCCCAGCCCACCTTGCCTACTTCCCTGGGCTTGTCATTTCTACTTTCCCGTGTAATCTCTGTCCTTCTACCCAATATAAGCAGCTGGCTTATGAGGGGCACGGCAAAGCAGATTTTCGTGGATGACCATTACTGCTCTCCCAATTTGCCAGCAATACTGGAATAAACGCTCATGTATGATTCAACCCTATCTCTGTTTAATTGGCTCAAGTGGTGACAGGCAGCCCGAATCCACTGTTGTCTGGTTTCACTAGTAAACAAAAAGCAGAGAAAAGCTGAAAGCAGTATAGATTGGAAGTCCCCTAGCCAGTCTCAGTCTCCAGTTTCCATCTCCAACTCTTAATCTACTGTTTTGACTCCAGAGATCCTTTCTAAAACAAAGATGAAATCAGATCATGCCTACGCTCAATACCTCCCTGCTTTCAATAACAATAATGAAAAAATTAAATTATTCAATTTTAAATCCACTGCCTTCCTCCCTCTTTATCAGCCTGACTTATCCATCCAAATCATTTTCTCTCACTTCCAACAAACCTTTCTCAGAACTGGCAATTCAAACATGCATGAATTTCATGCTTAGCTATTTTGCCTCACGTTCTTAGAATTTTCTGAGCACACTTCTTACCTGCCAAATTTCCGTTTTACTGGAAAATTTCTATTAATCCTCCTTGACCAAGCTCCTCTATTAGTCAATTATCCCTGCCTCTTCTATCATATAGAAATGCACTCTTCCCTCTATTCGAGAAATGGTCACAAGCTGTCTGCCTCTGTTAGAGAAATTAGTGGACATGTTCCACTAATTAGGACACCATGTACACAAGGAGAGATTATGTCTTGCAAAGGGCATCTTGTTGAGGGCAAATGAAATGTGGCTTGCTGTCAAAAAGCATGAAAAATAACATAAACCACCCTCAAATAATACTCAGTCCCCTCCAGCTACAGAAATAACTTTCATAAAACAGAAGTAAATGTGCCTAAATGTAAAATTGTATAATGATTTTAGCAAATATAATTCAATGTTTTCACCTTTGCATTTAATAAAAATAAGCAAAAATCAGTATTATTAAAGGCTGTACATTAAAATTATGATAGAAAAAAATTGCAAACTGATTGCAGAATATTTAAAAACATACATAATAGACTGAAGGAGAATGAAATGAGTGACAGTGCAAAAAGTCAGATGAGCGGTTCTACTTATCTATGCAAATATAAAGGAAATGGCCAGAGTGACATACAATATATTTAACAACTGGTATGGTGTAGCCTTAGACTAGATTGTTGTAAAACATGAATCAACAAGAAGACCTTGTAGGGTCCTCTGCCTGGGAGTGGGCACCCTTGTCCTGTGAACTTTCTAACTGACTTGGCAAGGCTGAAACTTTCTTTAGTACTTGGGGCCTTGATGTGGGACTGGGCCAATTTGTATACGTTGCTCAGAGATGCTGACTCCCATTCCAGCTTCCTCAAGTCAGCAGTATCTAGACATTGGTTTTGATTTGCTCTGACCAAGTTTTGCAGACAGAAACAGACAATGAAGAACTGGAAGATAAATTTACCAGAGGAAAGGAGGAGTCTGGTTTGGGTCAATAAAAAGGCTCATGGGTTGGTGGGAGAGGGTTAGTTAGGCCACAGCAAGTGGCCACAACTAAAACTCACTTTTAAGCCAAGCCCCATGTCAAGGATCCCTGCTGGATGCCACTGCCCTCTTACACGGATGATCCCAGCAATGCCAGGTGGCTTCCTATTTGGGAACCTAGGACTACACAGAGCAGATGTTCCCATGGGAACCACAGTGAATGCAGAGTCCCAGGGTTGTGTCAAGACATTATTTTGTGTTTTGCAGTGTTTCTGTGCATTGTATGGGGATCTGTCAACCACTCCCCCCAGCAGACACAATTTCTCAGGGATTAGGTGGGTCATCATTTAATCTCCCCATCCACACAGAGCCAACATTTCTTTGGATTTCTGGCATTTGATAGCATGGATTTTTAGAGCTTTTGTAGGCTTTCCCCTAAGATAAGAAAGTCTATGGATAGATATAAGTTTGATAAAACTCTTTCTACTTTCAAACAGCTGTTATATAACTCATTTCATTTTTTATATGTAAGTTTGAATGGAACAGCCAAAGTGAAACAAATGGCTTTTCCTTGATAGCAGTGGTAGTAGAAATTTTTCTGTTTTACACATGGAAAGCTGTCAAATTGAGGCCTAATTACTTTACAGTTTTCAATAGGTGGTTCTTAATGGCAAAGCAGTTATCACAGTTAATAAGAACAGGAGCTAACTAGGTGGACTTGGATATTTGATTATCTATTTAAGCGTGTAATTGCATTTTTCAATATAATTAGAAATTAAAATTGAATGTGTAAATTAATAGATGTGTTTTCCCCACATAAGTAAATGTAATTCAATGCAATCCTTTACATTAAGTGTATTATTTCTCAATTCATAGCAATATAACTTTATGATTATTTTTCTTAATATTTTTTCTGGCAAGGACAAATTATATATAATCAAAAGTCATGTTTTAATAAATTGAGATGCCAAGTGTAATTCTATTTTGATTAATTTAGATATAACTTATGGAAGTTAATATTAATATTTCAATAGCCTAATCTAAAGAATAAAATCAACTTCCTTACTATGCTACTGAGAATTAGCCCTAGTATTTTTCTAGGGCTATATTACAAATTGATATAAAAAAGGGATGGTGAAGCACTTGACCGAACTACTATTTTCACTAATTTTTATACAGAGGAATTCAGTTAAATCCTGAACTCCTTTAAAGGAATTAAAAAACAAGATTTAGCATTACTATAAAATAGCACTTTTGCTTTCAAAATGGTAATTTTAAATGTAAAACTAGACTATACTTTACATATTTCACAGGCTATATTATTTTTCACATGTAAATGAACCTACAGACATCAGGTAAATACAATACTTCTTTCCAATTACCATTATTTCATTGCATATACATTCAAAATAATATACAACTGATACATAATTGATACATTTGGTGCTAGATCCTGGGGTTATAAATTCCCTCCTCAGGTTAACACATGGCAGTGTCTTTCTGGAAAGGGATAATGCCATAAAATTTTCCTCTAGAGATAATCTCTCCCCCCTCCCCCCCCCTTTTCCCTCTCTGGATCCCTCTCCTTTGCTGGCTTTAAAGAAGTAAGATACTTGGATCTCTGCGCCACTAGGAAATTCATTCTGACAACAACTTGCAAGAAGTTGGAAACAGCTCCTTTCTCAGGTGAACCTCTGTGGAGAACCCAGCACTGGCCAGTCCCTTATGGAAAACTTGATAGACCTTAAGCAGAGGACCCATCTAGGTCATGTCTGGACCTCTGATCCATTGACAATATGACATAAAACGTGTGTGTTGTTTTCACCTCCTCAGGGTTTGGTAATTTGTTATGCAACAATAGATCAATACAGATAGGGCCACAGCAAGGTTAAGCATGCCTCCACTCTGCTTCCATGGAACTTTCTTAGGCGGCCATTGGAAAATGTACCCACCACTACTACAACTCCACCTAATCTTGAGGGCAAGCTCTTTGTTTAGCTACTAGAAGGCTGAAATTGTTATCTACATTCCTAAAGTCTCCAGCTGTCATCAAGTCCCTGTGCTAGTTATACCATTACAGTGCCAGGCCAAGATGAAAGCACACACCGCAACTCTGTTCTCACCATTTTGTTGCTGAGGATGATGATACAGTAGCGTGTCTGCATGTCAAAGGGAATAAAGGAGAGCTCCAGGCTTGAAGTCCCTTTTGGTCCTGCTCCCAGGTGAAGAGTTGGTGAGGAACAGAAGAATTCTCTGATGAAACTGGACCTAATTGCTGCCAAAACATGAAGCAGAGTTTGTTTACATATCATTGCACAGGAACCATTAATATAAAACAGCTGTTTGAATTAGTGATTAAAGTTTTGGGATGAATAACAAAATGTTCAAAGCATTAGCACACAAATTTAGAAGATAATGCATACGTTTGTTAATAAAAGTACTGGTGACCCTACCACAAGTTCACTATAATAAAAAAAATGTACAATTATGATGCACTTTTAAATATACCTTAATAAATAATTTCTTTTTTTTCCTTTTTTAAAATTTTATTAAGTTTATTGGGGCAACAATGCTTAATATGAACATATAGGTTTCAGGTGTGGGTTTCTATGTTATAAGATCTGTATATTGCTCCATGTGCCCACCACCCAGTCATATCTTCTTTTGTCACCATATATTAAGACCCCTTTCACCCTCCACCCCCCCTTCCGTCTGACAACCACCACACTGCTGTGTCCACAAGTTTCAGTTTTATATCCCACAAATGGGTGAAATCATATGGTTCTTAGCTTTTTCTGACTTCTTTTACTTAGCAAAATATCCTCAATGTCCATCCATGTTGTTGCAAATGGTAGTATTTCACCCTTTCTTATGGCTAAGTAGTATCCATTGTGTCCATGTCCCACATCTTCTTTACCCAGTCCTCTATCCCAGGACACTTTGGTTGTCTCCGTGTCTTGGCCACCGTGAATAATGCTGCAATGAATGTAGGGGTGCGTATATTCTTGCGAATGCATTTTTTTGTTTGTTTTCTGGATATATACCCAGGAGAGGGATTGCTGGGTCGTATGGTAGCTCTATTCTTAATTTCTTGAGGAATCGCCAGACTGCTTTCCATAGTGGTTGTACCAGTCTACATTCCCAGCAGCAGTGAATGAGGGTTCCCTTTTCTCCACTACCTCTCCAGCACTTGTTATTGCTTGTCTTGTTGGTCACAGCCGCTCTATCGGGTGTGAGGTGGGATCTCATTGTAGTTTTGATTTGCACTTCCCTAGTTCTAGTGAGGTCCAACACCTTTTCACGTATCTATTGGCTGTTCGTATGTCTTCTTGCGAGAGGTGTCTGTTCAGGTCCTCTGCCCACTTTTTTAATGGGTTGTTTGTTTGGTTGGTGTTCAGTTTTATGAGTTCTATAAATATTTTGGAAATTAAACCTTTGTCAGAGCTACTGTTTGTAAATATCTCCCATCTGGATGGCTCCCTCTTTCTTTGGTTGTCAGTTTCTTTTGCTGTGCAGAAACTTTTTAGTTTGATATAGTCCCACTCATTTATTTTTGCCTTCACTTCCCTTGCCTTTGGGGTCAAGTTCATAAAATGTTCTCTATGACCAAGGTCCGTAAGTTTGGTACCTATGTTGTCTTCTATGTAACATTGTTTCAGGTCTCCAGTGTAGATCTTTGATCCACTTTGAGTTTATTTTTGTACATGTGGAAAAACTGTAATCTAGTTTCATTCTTTTGCATGTGGCCTTCAGTTCTCTCAGCACCACTTATTGAAGAGACTATCTACTCCACTGTGTGTTTCAGGCTCCTTTATTAAAAATTATCTGTCCATATACATGTGGTTTTATATCTGGGCTCTCTATTCTGTTCCACTGATCCATGTGTCTGTTTCTGTGCCGATACCATGGGTTTTAATTAGAGTAGCTCCGCAGTATAATTTGAAGTCAGGTAGCATGATACCTCCAGATTCATTCTTTTTCCTCAGGATTGCTTTGGCTATTCGAGGTCGTTTGTAGTTCCTTACAAATCTAATTATTTCTCATTCAATTTGTTTAAAAGTAACATTGGTATTTTGATGGGGACTGCATTAAATCTATACATTGCTTTGGGTAATACGGCCATTTTAACTATGTTGATTCTTCCCATCCATCAACATGGGATATTTTTCCATTTTGTTGTGTCTTTTTCAATCTCTTTTAATAATGCTTTGTAGTTATCAGTACATAGGTCTTTCACATTCTTTGTTAAGTTTATTCCTAGGTATTTTATTCTTTTGGCTGTATGCAAAAGGAATTGTATTTTTCATTTCTTTTTCTGAAGTTTTATTGTTAGCATGCAGGAAGGCAATAGATTTTTGTACATTGATTTTGTATCCTGCAACATTACTGTATTTGTTTATTGTTTCTAATAGTTTCTTGGTGGAGTCTTTAGGGTTTTCTATACACAGAATCGTGTTGTCCGCAAAAAGTGACAGTTTTACTTCTTCCTTCCCTATTTGGATGCCTTTTATTTCTTTCTCTTGCCTTATTGCTCTGGCTAGGACTTCCAGAACTATTTTTAATAAAAGTGGTGAGAGCGGACATCCTTGTCTTGTTCCTGATATTAGAGGAAAAGCTTTCAGTTTTTCACCACTGAGTGTTATAGTAGCTGAGGGTTTATCATATATGACCTTTATTATGTTAAGACACTTACTTTCTATTTCTATTTTATTGTTTTAATCATACATGGATGTTGTATCTAATCAAATGCTTTTTCTGCATCTATTGACAAGATCATATGATTTTTATTTTCTTTTGTTAATGTGGTGTATTGCATTGCTTGATTTACATATATTGAACCATCCCTGTGACCCTGGAATGAACCCCACTTGATCTTGCTGTATTGTTTTTTTGATGTGCTGTTGTAGTCTATTTGCTAGTATTTTGTTTAGGATTTTTGCATCTGTATTCATCAGAGATACTGGTCTGTATTTTCTTTTTTGTGTTATACTTGCCAGGTTTTGGCATCAGGGTTATATTGGCCTCATAAAATGTGTTAGGAAATGTTGCCTCTTCACTCTTTTGGAGGAATTTGAGAAGGACAGGTATCACATCTTCTTTGAATATTTTGTAGAATTCACTGGTGAAGACATCTGGTCCTGGACTTTTATTTTTGGTAGGTTTTTGACGGTTGTTTCCATTTCCTAGCTGTTGATCATTCTATTTAGATTTTCCAGTTCTTCATGATTTATTCTAAGAAGGTTATATATTTCTAGGAACTTATCTATTTCTTCTAGGTTATTGAATTTGGTGGCATATAGTCTTTCCTAATATTCTAGTATGATCTTTTGTATATCTGTGATGTCCATGGTGACTTCTCCTGTCTCATTTCTGGTTTTGTTTATACGGGTCTTTTCCCATTTTTCCTTAGCGAGTCTAGCCAGGGGTTTGTCAGTTTTATTAATCTTTTCAAAGAACCAGCTCTTTGTCTTATTAATTTTTTGTATAATCTTTTTGTTCTCTATTTCATTCATTTCTGCTATAATTTTTATGATTTCCTTTCTTCTGCTGACTTTGGGTTGCTTTTATTCTTCTTTTTCTAGTTCTTTAAGATGTGATGTTAGGTTATTTACTTGGGATTTCTCCTGTTTCTTGAGATACGCCTGTAATGATATAAACTTCTCTCTTGTTACTGCTTTTGCTGCATCCCATGCTTTTAGATATGCCATATTATCATTCTCATTTGTCTCTAAATATCATCTGATCTCATCTTTTATTTGTTCTTTGACCCAGTCATTTTTTAGTAGTATGTTGTTTACTCTCCATGCATTTGTGGTTTTCTTTCTTTCGTTTTTGCGTTAATTTCTAATTTCATGGCACCATGATCTGAGAATATGCTTGGTATAATTTCAATCTTCTTGATTTTGTTGATTCTAGTCATTTTATCTTTTGTTTTCTGGTAGCTCTATATCTCCATTGGTTATTTTCCTTTGTACTTCTGTCTGCTGTTTTTGGTTGGTAGTGTCTCATACTTCTTTCCTCTGTGTCCTCTTAATTTAAGCTATGTGTCCTGGTTTGGAGATTTTTGTGTGTGGTTACCATTAGGTTCATAAAAATAAAGTTGCATGTATACAATAGTTTTTTTCTTTTGAGTGCATCTGGTGTTCATCCTCTTTGCCAGTTCAGACCTTTACCCCCTCCCCTTCTATGATTTTGTTGTCACAAATTATCCCTGTTAATGGTGTAATTTTTTTGGTGATCTATTCACAGTGTTGTGACCTTATGTTCTTTGTTTCAGGTAAATTAACTCGAGTATTTCCTGCAATGGAGGCTTTCTGTTGATAAAATTTCTTAGCTTCTATATGTCTGTGAACATCTTTATTTCTCTTTCATATGTAAAGGATAATTGTGCTGGATATTATTATTTGTGGCTTGTCATTTCTCACTTTCAGACTTTTGAGTATTTGGTTCCATTCTCTTCTGGCTTGTAAACTTTCTGCTGAAAAGTCGGATGATATTCTGATAGGTTTTCCTTTGTAGATGACGTCCTTCTTTTCCCTGGCTGCTTTGAGAATTTTTTCTTTGTCATTAATTTTTGACAGTTTTAATACGATGTGCCTTGGAGAGGGCCTCTTTGGATTGAGGTAACTAGGTGTTCTGTTTGCTTCTTGGATTCGAGGACCTAGTTCTTTCCATAAGTTTGGAAAGTTCTCATCCATTATTTCTTTGAATAGACTCTCCATTCCCTTCTCGCTTTTTTGTTCTTCTGGAATGCCTATTATTCTAATATTGCTTTTTCTGATGGAGTCAGAGAATTCTCGTAGAGCTCCTTCATTTTTCTTTATGCTCATGTCTCTCTCTTCTTCCCTCTGCATCATTTGTAGATTCCTACTTTTGATATCACTATTCCTTTCCTGCATCTGGTTGGCTCTATTTTCTATGCTCAGTAGCTCATTCTTAATCTCCATAATTGCATGCTTCATTTTCAAGATTTCTGATTGATTCTTTTTTAAAGTTTCAATCTCTTTGGTAAAGAGACTAGTTTTGTTCATTGATTTGTTTTCTGAGTGTACTGAATTGCCTGTGTATTTTCTCGCATCTTGTTGAGTATTTTCAGAACTGCAATCTTGAAATCTCTGTTATTTATCACATATTTCCATGTATTCCAGCTTGCTTTCTGGGGAGTTTTCATTTTCTTTCTGATCATCCTCGCTACTGTGTTTATTCATTGTATTTGCTACTCTTTTTTGTCTAAGCATTTATGGCCCTTCTATAGCAGTGTTCTCTGAAGAGGTACTACTGTATGCTCTGTACATAAAAATAATACATGATAACAAATAAAAGTTTTAATTTGAGGTACTCACAGGTTTTTAAGGTTTTGGGGGGATGAAAAGAGTCCTCAACAATATCTTGTTCACTACTATTCTTAGCATCACTGTCATAAGTGAACAGAAAAACACCATCAATAACACAGACAAAACTCAAAAACAATTCTCTATCTTAATTTAATCTTAGAGTCTTAAAGCTATGGCTACCTACAATATGATGTAGAAAGACCCCAGATTTCTTTCATGTATAGTGTTAATGTTTATATTGTTTTAGAAATTCTAAAATTAAGAAAAATGCAAAAAGGAAACTAGCAATCATCCATATTTCCACCACTATTTTTTAAAATTTGGTAAAAACAATTCCTTTTTCTTTTCAAATATTTTAGAGAAGTAAATAATTAATGATAATAATAATAAAACTCAAAACCCAAGATTCAAAAGCAGGTGACATCAACTGAGGGCTTTATAGGTACTCTCTCCAAAAGTGGTTCTAGAACTTGATGTCTTGAAAAATTCTCTTCTCTCAGCTTACAGCTTCCACGTTTGCTCCTTTCTCAATAAAAGTAGAAGAAGACATGGGCAGCTATTTAATTTCTGCTTGCATTTCTGAAAAATAATTAGCAGATCATAGCCTGAGGCAACTGCCCCCCTTGAAAGGTTCCATTCTTCCAGAACCCATCATTTTCCACCAAATTGCTCTTCTCTTAGTATTCGTGATTACTTTTCTCAACAAGCTGTCAATTAGTATCTGGACTCTCAGATATTGTTTGCCTGATTTTTTTTCTGAGAATACCAAAAAAACCATATTTTCTTACTTTATCATCTGCTTTTGCCTAAATCTGACATTGTAAAAATATAATGACTATTTCCAAGTAAAGTTCTTCTAACCATATCCATGCCATTTCTCCAAACTCTGCCTTTGTTTTATACCACATTCTTAATAAGGTTATTTACCACATCTTATAATTATTCTGTGCTTTACTTCTACTTCACAGGCATTCTGAGTAGCAGTTTGTGTAATAACTTATTTTAAAAGTACAGAACATTTAATATTTTATGTAATTTGAGCATTTGATAGACACTTTAATTTAAGGCTATTGTAGATATAATAGATGAATATCTCATCATTTATAAAGGAGGCTATAAAGAGAGTGGAAAAAATGACAAAAAATGCTTATTTCTCAATGTGGAGCTCCATTGCCATCTCTTTGACAATGGAGTTCTGGGTACAGTGCCTAATTAAAATTCTCAGATAATTTTCAGACCTCATTTTGTTCAATACTTGCAATCTCTAGCCTTTCGATCATTTTTTTCATAGTGGGTAGAAAAGCAGAGGAATGTGGGTTTCATCTCCTCTTTCTTTCCTTTACCTATTTTGTTGGAGAACAGCTAATGATAGCGTCTTTTGAGTAAATCAAAGAGGTGCCTCATCCTCAAAGGAAACTCCCAAACCCAGAAAAATTGAGTTACCTTTACTATTTATGGTAAAGTCAGACAGAAAAAAAAATGCAGACCTAGGAATTTTATAGACTTGTTCATAAAGCGAACAATTATCATGATTAACTTAGAGACATTAGAAAACAATTTAATAAAATAATCTGGCCCAGGAAAATTCCATTTTACCTAATCAGTGTTCTTGGGTTTAGAAATTCACTGATAAACTCAACTTGTTTACAAACCCAGTATCCTGGATATTCCAAAGACAGAACAGAAAACAACTAATTTACTTTTTTCTTACTCCCTGAACCTCAGTCCATGCTATCCTTTTCCTAGATGCTCATTGATTATTCCTAAAGCCATGGCAGAGAGAGCATGTTTAAACTCTTTGTCTTAAGAAAATAATTCCATCAAAAGAAGCTAAAATTATACAAAATACCGTAGGTTAAGCAGTGGAATATGTTCTGCTAATTTAAGAGTGATCCAAAGTCAGAGAGTGGAACCTACTTATGAGGTGTGAAGGAATGACATTCCTTTTTCCTCTGCAGTGGTGGCACAAAGCTCTTTTCAAGTAAAATGATCAAAATGACATCGAACTGGTCCTATTCAGAGCATGAATACCTCAGCGCCAAGAATAACTTCCTATTCAAAACTTTCCCAGTAGGGAACGATCTTTATTATAAGCCTTCATGAAGCTACTCCTGGGCCAGCATTCGGGGCTGTGTCTAAACCAAATAGCAAATTATCTAGTACAAGTCAAGTTTTTATGCATCATGGGAAAAAATATCAGGATTGATTTTTAGATTCATTCCATCCTCCATGTGTCCAGAAGTTATTTTTTCAAAAAGGGGCAGGGGGGCTAGTGGCCACCCGGAGTGCAGTAAAAATGGGATGTTTGCTGCTTTTGGTACCACTTTGGGCCCTGAGCAGCTGAAAAGTCTCTGAAGCAAGGAGTGCTAACCTGGCATATAAGGATAGAGTGGATCTGTGAATTTAAACTTGTATATGATAAAGGTGACCACCAGAGTATAGTCTCCGCAAAGAAGAAAAGCACTTCCTATCTCATTATTCTCTTTAAATGTCTTCTCTTCTGTGAATATCCCCACAATATCTAGATAGTGATATTCTTTGCCAGTTAGCTCACAGCATTATTTTATTTTTTTAAATTTATCTTTATTGTTGAAAGTATTATATGTGTCCCATTTTTTCCCAATTGACCCCCTCCACCTCGCTCCCACCCCCTCCCCAGGCCTTCACCCCATCATTGTCTGTGTCCATGGGTTATGCATATATGCATATAACTTCTTTGGTTAATCTCTTCCCACCCTCCACCCCCCTTCCCTCTTTCCTCTGAAATATGATCGTCTGTTGCATGCATCAATGTCTCTGGATCTATTTAGTTCATCAGATTCTTTTGTTCATTAGCTTCTTCTTAAAGAAGACCCTTCAACATTTCCTGTAGTGCTGGTCTGGTGGTGATGAACTCCTTTAGCTTTTTCTTATCTGTGAAGCTCTTTATCTGACCTTCAATTCTAAATGATAGCTTTGCTGGGTAGAGCAATCTTGGTTGTAGTTCCATGTTTTTCATCACTTTGAATATTTCTTGCCACTCCCTTCTGGCCTGCAAAGTTTCTGTTGAGAAATCAGCTGACAGTCGTATGGGTGCTCCCTTGTAGGTAACTAATTGCTTTTCTCTTGCTGCTTTTAAGATTCTCTCTTTGTCTTTAACCTTTGGCATTTTAATTATGATGTGTCTTGCTGTGGGCCTCTTTGGGTTCCTCTTGTTTGGGACCCTCTGTGCTTCCTGGACTTGTAAGTCTATTTCTTTCCCCAGGTAGGGGAAGTTTTCTGCCATTATTTTTTCAAATAGGTTTTCAATTTCTTGCTCTCTTTCCTCTTCTTCTGGCACTGCAATAATAT